GTTCAAGGACCTAAAACACAGATCTGGGGGCCAGAGCTTGGATAAGGCAGTAAACAGAATATGGGCTTCTGAAGGGCCTCATCACTGAAAGATCAGGGTTCATAGACTTGAGAGATGGCTAAGTGGTTAAAAGCACTAGGAGCACTTCCAACGGACACAGGTTCAGTTCCAACAAACACACAGCATCTTATAACTCTGTAAGAAACTCCAGTTTCTGGGTATTCAACACCGTCTTCTTACCGCACAGGCATCAGGCACGCACATAGTGAACATATTCATGCATCTAAATTAAAATATCAAAAGTAAATTAAGGTGATGGTGCAGGGTCTAGAGGTGGAAGCTGTTGACCCTACTTGTCCCAGAACAACTTGAGAAGATGCAGTCTTTAGAGCAAAGCTAAGATCAGGGCCTCTCCAAATATCTGAGACCACCCAGGTCAGAAAAACTCACACATCCTTCTCTCTTGCAGCCAAAATAACACCCCCATCTGTCTATCCACTGGCCCCTGTATGTGGTGATACATCTGGATCCTCGGTGACTCTGGGATGCCTGGTCAAGGGCTATTTCCCTGAGCCAGTTGGCGTCACCTGGAACTCTGGATCACTGTCCAGCGGTGTGCACATCTTCCCAGCTGTCCAGCAGTCTGGACTCTACTCCCTCAGCAGCTCAGTGACTGTATCCTCCAGCACCTGGCCCAGCCAGACCGTCACCTGCAATGTAGAACACAAGGCCAGCAAGACAAAGGTGGACAAGACCATTGGTGAGAGGACATCCAGGGGAGGAGGGGTTCACTACAGCTGAGGCTCAGGCATTAGCCTACCTAGACTAACCTTGCTGGACAGCCATCATGAGGAAGGGGATCTTAGCCCAAGATAGAAGGAGGTACTGTATCTGCCTCCCTCCAAGAGTCATCTATCCAAGGCTACCCACACTCTATGACATGATCCTCTAGGCTAGATGTCTGTGTCATTTCCAGTATCATCCTGGCCTAAGCCCATATCAGGGAGGAAGTCCCCTCTCCCTGGTTTGGTGCTTACTCTCCTTCAAACCCCAGTAACATCTAGCTTTCTTTCTACAGAACCCAGAGACCATGGTCCAGTCAAACCCATATGCCCTACATGTCCCAAATGCCCAGGTATGTGATTTAGACCCATGTTCCAGCGCCAGGAGGCTGGCAAGTGTTGTAAGCTCGACTTAACTGAACGGTGAGCCATGTACTGATCGATTTCCATCTCTCCTCCTCAGCTCCTGATCTCCCTGGTGGACCATCTGTCTATATCTTCCCCCCAAAGCCCAAGGATATACTCCTGATCTCCCAGAATGCCAAAGTCACATGTCTGGTGGTAGACGTGAGCGAGGATGAGCCAGATGTCCAGTTCAGCTGGTTTATGGACAACAAAGAAGTACACACAGCTCAGACTCAGCCCCGTGAGGAGCAGTACAACAGCACCTTCCGGGTGGTCAGTGCCCTCCCCATTGAGCACCGGGACTGGATGGCTGGCAAGGAATTCAAATGCAAGGTCACCAACAAAGCCCTCCCAGGCCCCATTGAGAGAAAAATCTCAAAACCCACAGGTGGGAGCTGCAGCCTGACTGCATGGGGGCTGGGATGGGCATACGAATAAATGCTGGTGTGGAGAGCCCTCAATTTAAACCATGACCTCTGTGTCTGCTTCTACCCCACAGGGCTAGTCAGAGCACCACAGGTATATGTCTTGCCTCCACCAGCAGAGCAGATGGCCAAGAAAGAGGTCAGTTTGACCTGCATGATCACAGGCTTCCTCCCTTCAGACATCGATGTGGAATGGACCAGCAATGGGCGTACAGAGCAGAACTACAAGAACACCCCACCAGTCCTGGACGCTGACGGTTCTTACTTCTTATACAGCAAGCTCAATGTGGCAAAGAGCAGATGGGAACAAGGAAATACTTTCCTCTGCTCAGTGGTACACATGGGCCTGCACAATCACCACACAACGAAGAGCATCTCCCGGTCTCTGGGTAAATGACCTCAGCACCCAGAAACCTCGCAGGTCCTAAGGGATACTGACACCCATCTCCAAGGTTCCCTTGTATAAATAAAGCACCCAGAACTGCCCTGGGACTAAGTAAAACTGTCCTGGTTCTTTACAAGGTATAAAGCCTAGGTCATGGGCTGTGAGTTCTATCCATTGTTTGAGGACAGAGTTGTCTTTAGGAAGAGAAGATTTCTTCACTGGC